ACATATTTGTGTAATCGGAGAGTGGAAAGAGGGTTAGAGGGCCATTAGCCAGTGCATTAGGACTGACTGCAGACAGACTGGAAAAAAGGACTAAGGACGGAGCTGGTGTGTGTGCAGGAAATATGGTGGTTTTAAGGATTTCAGGGCGAAAGGGACAATGCGGGTGAGGATTTAGCAGCAAGGTTGACGGGGATTGAATCCATTAGTGAGTGCATGTGTGTGTCAGTGTGTGTTGAAAGGATTGAGGAGGTCTGACCCACATAAAGCAGACACACCCTGAGCAAGAGTCAGCTGTCCGGCAATAAATGAATCGACATGGTTTTTAATATTTACTGAAGAGGATTCTGTGTACTTTCTTTATTCAACTTTATCCTTCCATACAGCCCAAATAGTCTGAAGACTTTGTAAAACAAAAAAAATATATATATACAATTTATAGTTTTATAAAGGTAAATTTTCCTCAAATAATGTTTTTTATTTAAACTAAATCTATTCTAAACTATTATAAGTTATAAGAAACTGTCCAGATGCCCTGACTGAAAAATGTTGGATATTATAAGTTTTATTCTCAAGCTGCTTCACACTACTGGTAGTTATTCTCAGGGATGTCCAAATGGTGTTTTTAAATAGAAAAAATATACATTTTAATGGTCCCATTCTTTCAGGAGTACTAAAACTGTATTTTTGGAAAGTGGTTCAAGTACTTGGGGTCCAGGAAAATGGGGATTGTGGAAAAGAGGTGAAGAAGAGAGTCCAGGCAGGATGGAGTGGATGGAGAAAAGTTTCAGGGTTGATTTGTGACAAAAGTGTGTCAGGAAAGGTCAAAGAAGTTTACAAGACAGTGGTGAGACCAGTTATGCTGTATGGTCTGGAGACAGAGACATGGACAAAAAGACAAGAGAAAGAACTGGAAGTGGCAGAAATGAAGATGTTGAGGTTCTCCTTAGGAGTGACAAGGATGAAGAAGATTAGGAATGAGATCATCAGAGGTACAGCACAGGTTGAACAACTGGGACATAAAGTTAGAGAGACCAGACTGAGATGGTTTGGACATGTCCAGAGGAGGGACAGTGGTTTGTACATGTCCAGAGGAGGGACAGTGGGTATACTGGTAGAAGGATGTTAGAAATGTAGCTGCCAAGAAAAAGACAAAGAGGAGATATATGGATGCAGTTAGAGAGGACATGGAGGTAGTTGGAGTGAGGACAGAGGATGTAGAGGACAGAGTGAGATGGAGGAGGATAACTCACTGTGGAGACCCCTGAAGAGGGAAAAGACGAAAGAAGAAGAAGACGTTCCAGAATGAATAAAATCTTGAAAGGCCACCTATTTGTGTAGAGCACCAAAACAAAACCTTTGAAAAAACACAGCATAGCCTCACATCTTAACCTATGACCTGAAGGCATCCTCTTCTTCTTGTGATTAAATTTCGCATCAATTGTAGAACCTTAATGCTCCACACCTTGTTTCCTGTTTTGGATGTACTTTCACAGCAGCATCACAGCACCACATACAGGCCTGACATGGTTACTACAGCGTTTTGGGTCATTGAGGTTAAGTTTTCTTTAGCGTTGGATTGTCTGTCTGTGCATTAGATTACTCATAAACAATGTATTTTATGACATTATCAGGAAATGTTGAGGTTCTCACAAAGAGCAAATTATAGAATTTTGGTGGTGATCTGGATCATCATTTGGATCCAGGATTTTCTCTTTTTGAGGATTCTTGTCAGTCTGTGCTCAAAATGTTACTGACTGAGTGACCCAGGATCTTGGTGGAGGTGTGCACACTCTGAGTGCTTCTAGTTGTCAGTATTTCCATGTGAATGAAAATAATTGTAGAAACAAATGCCTTGGTGATAAGTTTAGAAAAACAAATAAAATATTGTTTTGAAAGACCTGTTTCTGTGGAGTCTATATCCCAGCTGTTGCATATCTTAACTAACAGTGCAGTTTTGGATTTAATTTAAGAGAGAACAGAGACTGACAGGATACAGAAGAGACCAGAACTAGACAGAAATAGATGAGGTATGACAAAGTGAGGGGCCAAAAGGCACTGACAGAATCGAAATAAGTGTCCTCCTATATTTTCTGTTTTATATTATTCATAAGCAGAAGAAGCAGAAAAAGAAAAGGATGGAAAGGAGTTAAATTGTCTCCTTCACTTGACTTGTCTGTTTTTCATTACTTTCTCAAGGCAATGTGCATAAAAATTCAAAAATATCAACAGAATATAGAAAATAAAGATTATTTTCTGCTAAACCTCACAGACAAAAATATTTCTGCCTTTCTTCCTTGGTGTTTTTTTAAACATAAATTTGGGTGAATTTAAAATATATTGTGTTTTATAGTGGATATGTTTTCTTATTTTGATTTCCAATATTGTTCATTTTCATCTTAATGATCACCTTTACACACACACACACACACACATATATGTACTGTATATAT